AATCTGGCAGTTAGGTTTTTATCATCACCATGTTGCGAGTGATCAGTCTTAAATCTTATTTCCTCCATGCCTAAGTAAATACGCTAACAGTGTTTCTCAGTTTTTGGAAAAATAAAATTTTTTCAGGACCCCCTCCCCTCCCCCCAAGATCTGAAAATTGGCAAGTGAAACGAGGGTTCAGCGCTGTGATAGGTTAGACAGAAAAGAGTTAGGGGGTAATTACACGAGACCGGGACGAACTCAGGCCGGTACAAATTGTAATTTTTGCAGTCGTTTACATGAGACCGAGACAAAACGATACGAAAACAGGAGATTCTTGGATCTACATAACTCTCTTAAGTCGATTATTTAACATATTATTCGCTGCCTGTCCTAACTGGTACAAATTTACGCCAATTACGACATGTACAGTGAGTAGAGAACTGAGATTTTACTGCTCCCAGAAAATTTGTAAACTTAGTCTAACGCTCATCTGGTGGCATGTTAAATGCACAGCATCTCATATTGGTGCAATCCCTTAATTAACCGAAGCATATATTCAATTGAAGCTACTTCCAAGTCTTGTTTACAGTTATTCATAGCAGTGTTCTTATTTTGCGTAGAAAAAGCAAAAATGATAGTGCCATACCAAGAAACATGCTATTTATGGACCCGGTCAGAGATTTATTTCCGTTTTACATGAGAACGGTACAGCCTCAGACCGGTGCAAAAGTAAGGCCTGTTTCGAACGTCGTGCTACTGCCGTGCTAAGCTGGCTCGACTGTAGCTCGACTGCAGCAGGACACTCGCACGACTTGGTTTCAGACGTCGAATTTAGTTCAGTCGAATAGAACGGCTGTTGCCGAAAACAAAACACACAAAAAAAGAAACGGTTTAGCAAACTTTTATATGTATTTTAATGCATTTATAATTTATGAATTGAGTTCGGCACGGCGGTAGCACAACGTTTGAAACCAAGTCGAGCTACTGCCGTGTGGGTTGCCGTGCTACACGGCAGTAGCACGACTTTCGAACGACTTGGTTTCACGTTAGATTTGTGACAAACAACATCAGTCTCACTAGTAACCTGTACTCCTACAATCAGACAATGGGAAATTCAAAATTTAATGTTTCTACACCAGTAGACCATTTTTTTCCCCGACTTTTTAAGGGCTCATAAGGTCGATAGGTCGATAAGCCGGTTAGGCATACACCAACCAGTTTCAATCTGAGGAGGTTTGTTTGTGATTTCTTTGTATAGCTCATAGGGGCCTGACTGTAGCCTCTGCACTAGATCTGCACATCCATCTCAGCGATTATGAGATCAATTAAGCTCTAGATTTTTTTCGAGTACCGGAGACACTATCCAGCTCAACAGATCCAAAACATGTATGCACATCAATGGGGTCTCATGTTCCACGGCTGCAACTTGTTAACCTTCAGCACTTAAGTCTTTCCACACCTTCTTACATTTGTTGCATTTTTTCCAATGGAAGGCCGGGCAGCGAAATGATTGAGTAAATGGGTGCTTGTTACCACAACACTTACAGGAAGGGGCAGTTGTCCTTTCTTCAACCTTGAGGTTTCTAATAGAGTGAAGTGAACGTTCGGTACGAGCAACTTTTGGTGTGTTAAACTTGTACTTCTGGATGTACGGCAATACTTGTGAGTTGCTTGTCGCGTGAAATCTGGCATCTTCAGCAGTTCGCTTCGCAATTCATCTGAAAAAACTCCTCCTAGGATACGATCATGATACCAGTCGCCCTGTAAATTACATTTTTAGCACCCTGATACAATTCCTTGAACTTGTGCATGACAGACATCTTGCAATCTTTGTTTTTGTCACCAGTGAACTCAAAGTGTGGCTGTATATTCTTTGACGGCTTCCGGTCCAGCATAATGTTATAACTTATTCATCTTCAGTTGGTCCGCTTTATCGTCTTTGCCTTTACGACAAGGAATGTCTTAAATCCGCCAGTTCTCAGCAGCATTAGCGTCAGGCGCCGAATGGACCATGATGCAACGGAGATCCGTGATTCTCGATCGGCCATCATGAACACTCCGAAACAACTCAACAAGAAAAATGTTTGTCCCATCAACTCGTTCAATAATTTTTCACAGTTCAGTAGCTGTCATCCCATCTCTTGCCGAGAGCTACTGTATTCCACTCAGCAAGTTAAAACACAACGCGCGTGATCGCCCGTAAGTCAGGGGCTCCTAAAGGCGATCCCCAAAGGTTCCAATGCTACAACACATGCTGAATATAATGTCTATTATAAAGAATGAAAAGGATTCAGCAAATTGACCAGACAAGACGTTTTACTTGTTTACACTACAGAAATTTCCACTGACATTAGTGTACATTATAACCTGCGGACCAAATATTATTATAACCTCTTTTATTTTTCCTCTCTTTATTTATCTTTCTTTATATAGATGCAAGGGACAAAACTGCTGAAAGGTACGGTCCCTCCCAAAGTACAATCTCGCCTGAACTTCATAGCTGCCAGGACAAAAATTAAGCGCAAAATGTCTGTATGTCTATTTACGCCAAATACACCCCACCACTGCCCCTTCCCAGCCCCCTCCCCCCAGCAACAGCAACCACTAGCATCACAAACATGAAAGTAAATCTAAATAACGGGCTGCTTATCGACCCTGAAAAAGAGCCAATAAGTTCCACTAGACTCAAACTTGGCATTTTGTAGTTACAAACCCCATCTGTCGTCCCGTTGAGATTTCTCGGTGTTTAAGCACCATGGCATCATAGTTAAACATAGGGTGCGTGCGTTCAATGGTGCTTCTCCAGATTCACTTTTACTTTACGCCGTTATGTACAAAACTTTATATTTCTATGAAAATCGATAAATTACAAGTACAAACGACCTGCAAATACCGAAGCTTATCGAGATAGGTCATGGAGACGTATTACTTACCCTTAAATTACATTGATACAAACTAAGAATGTTGCATTGTACTTCTCCAGGATTGAACTTGAAATTCAGAATACCTCATTGTTGAATCCAGCGCATAGACGACAGACTGGAGTGTCTGATGAAAACGACGAGGAAGGGTGTGAAGACGAAATTGTACAACCTGGTGGGATGGCATGCGGATACGCTACCTTGCATCATCTTTCAAGAGTAAGTTAAATCTCTCATTTAATTCCAGACTTTTCAAGAACGTACGAATAGATAGTGAAGGAAACGAAGAGTTGTGATATCTCTACTTTTCTTTATTATTATTTTTTATACTTCAGCACTAAGAAATTTCCAGCTGTTGGCAATTATCGTTGCCCAATTGTTTAAGACTTATATCATTTACCTATACCGACTCAGTATTTATCGTTCCTGACTGTGACGTACAGCATGTATAGAGTCTGTACCGACTGTGATACCGTTCTGAAATATGAAAGCATACACCATCGACAGCAAGGAACATGGCAGGTCTTTACTGCCGGCATACATGCGAAGTTGAACTTGAGTCAGCTAATCGCAGTCATCATACGGCCATTAAGGATAAAGAGTGGATTGGTCCATGTTGATGGTCACTTCTGTTCTTTCTTTGATATAGGAATAATGCTCCAGGCAGTTAATGGCGGTTAAGTCGCAGGTGTTTCGGCGGCATATGAGACCTCAGTACAATACTCGTCAAATTTTGTTAAAACAGTAGACTGAAATTGGGGATTTTTTTATGTCACGCCATCTCAACCAACTTCTTAAACGTTTCTCAGAGTGTACTTCTTCTATTCTTCCCCAAAGTTGAATTCGTGCATATTTGCAAATGGGGACACGTGAATCAACATTCGGGATAGCGTAACGTGCCAAGTGTTTTAACAATTGTGACGTGTAGGTTCAACTGTCCAGTTGATATAACGAAAATGGTGTGCCACGTAGGTGTCGAAGTGGGGAGAAAGGGTGGTAAAATTGAACGCTAAACCTCCATCAGAGTGGAAGGAACTCTGGGTTGCGTTAATCCTGATGATGATGATGATGATGATGATTACGATCAGACTGCGTGCAATGCATTCCATTCATTCTTAGTGGAGCTCGAGACGAAAAAGGCCACATAACACGAGCCGTGCATGTGTGTCAGCAT